TCTTTAAAAATTGCCATTACATTGAGTGGCACTCTACTCCACATCTTCTGCTTGCATGTTTGTCACTGTTGCAAGTTTATCACCACAAGTTTGGCTTCCCCATTGGTTTCACCTTCTGATATCCTTTAACACTACTCTGTAAATTTTTATTTGCAATTCATATCACTTGTCACAGATCGATCACTGCGTTCCATCATATCAGTTCAACTCTTTTGTGGTGCAGCAGCGATCAACTGATTTTTATTCTCCGTTTTTTACTTTCAACAAACTCTTAAAAATGTAACTTAAATTTGTTTATTCCTTTTCCACAACTTCCACAGTGGTCTCTAAACTATTTCATTCCTCCTCTCTCATTCAAATACAAAAAAAAACTACGAAGCTGTCGTCCTTCCTCTGATGATATTCCTCTGAATGAGGAGCGATCAGATTTTATTTATATATATATATATATAGTGCTGGGCAACGATTAAAATTGTTAATCGCAAGTAATCGCATTATTATGCGCAAAATTGAAAATTTTATTCTAAAGTAGTGTATTGCGCACTTTTAATTTAAATGTACTGCTTGGAGAACACTGCCCTGCTGTATCCATCCAGTCATATGCCTTTGGTTATAATTAAGGGAAGCCATTTGGAGAAAGTAAATCTCTCCTTTAAACTCCACAGGAGTTGATCCTGCTGAGATCTGTGCAATGGCTTGTCAAACTAAAGATGATTAAAATTTGTTTAAAAAGTGAGATTATATGTAATGTTTCAAACAGCATTTAAATGATTGCATTTCAGTGCACAGCAGGCCCTAACTACACACTGAAATATGAAGTGTTCTCTATATTTCATAAAAGAGTTTTGTGTAATCTTGAAATGTATGTTGATGGTGCCTCCATAAAATGAGGTAACAAAAAAACAGAACACAGGTGTGTAGTGCGCTATTGACCTGCTTCGAGCAGCAAACTGTAACCAAAGCTGTTACAATTTCCTAACCTGGGGGTTACATTTTCACATCACTTGACCGGCATGTGAAACTACTGTCCAATTTTTGGCATTATTCTCATGGCAAAGAAATATCTTTCACATTACATTTGTTCGTAACACATAATCTCTGTGAGGGAGTGTGCGCTCATTTCACAAACTGCTGTGGGCCCCTTTTCTTTGAAAGACCTTGAATTAAAAGCAGACAGTCTGCTTTGTGAGGATTTAGAGGCTGAGTCAATTTTTTTTTTACTGTAGATCAGCCACAAAGAGGGAAGACTGAGGGAGTGTGTACATAAGGTTTGTGAAAGACACGCAGACATGGCATTCCTGCTTTTCAGATTCAATCAAAGACAAAACTATACTTAAAATATTTAGCAGTAGTTTCCCCCCCAAAAAATAACACTGAGGCACTGTTGTAGTATCAAACATTCAGTTTTTGTTTACAACCAGCATCAGAAGCAGGTAGAAGTTTCTGGATACAACAGTTGATAAGTGTAATAACAGGTAGATCTGGCCACACTGTCAATATAGTTATGTTGCTATTGCATCAGATTCATGATTCGAAAGCTTGTCATCTCATACATGTCAATGTCACTTATTTAACCTATATGTTTTATATATTCCTAATTCTTGAAGATTTAATCACATGTAATCAAATAAAAAATCACATTAAATACAGAAAGACATTTATACAATTTATTTTGAAATATCTGGCAACAAACATGAACTTGTTTTTCACAAACTTGATAAGGTAATCATATCATATTTTGTAGTATAGTTCTTCATTGTTTAAATGTATTAAGCTGGTGAAAGCTGTGACGTCCTGTTCAAAAAAGGCGGAATTTCACTACATGGAGCAATATGAAAACCGCTTATTTGTTTTAATTTTTAGTGGCGTAGTCAAGTTCATGAGCTAGACTTAAATCCACATTTCTGGAAGAACTTGAGGTGCAAGTTGTTGTTTTTCAGTTTTGTTCTCATTTCTTGCCAAAGCAATTTGCCTCTTTGTTTACCTCAGATGATCAGCTCTGATAACGTCCTGGTTCATAAACACTGAGGGCCCCCTTTTCAGTGATGTCTGTGTACATTATCAAATACAAGCTGGCAGGGTCATTTACAAAAATATACATCTGTGCTTTTGTTTCAGACATGAGTTTTCTGCCAATTTCAGGGAATCAGATGCATTGTCAGCTTTTAGATCCAGATGTAACAACTTTTTAAGATGTTGAAAGACAGAACAACATTCCCCCCAGAGAACACCAGTACATTTGATATAATGGAGATCATTATGCAGCACACATGCTTTTGCTTTTATGTGTGTAATGCTGTAAATCAGAAACTCAAACAGTTTATTATATTTTGTACATGGTTCCCCAACAGTTCCTTTTACATGAACCTGTGACCACTGACCCTGTTTGATAATATTCAAACAGTCTATTGAATACAGGGAGGGTTTTAATACACACATAACATGTAGTGTAGGTGCAAGGCTTTTGGAAAACATCTTTTGCACACTAACCCCAAACAAACCACAAACTGATTTAAATAGAAGAAGTTCCCATTTCTACTGGGATCGTCATTAGGTCAGGCTTGTGGTTGGAGGAAAATTGTTCTAGACATTTTGATAATTTTTTGCCAAGAATTTGAGATATCCCCCTGCTGAGACTGCTGCAGATGGATTTTCATTTGTGGTGCTGAAATCATTAAAACAATTACATATGAAAGATGCAGCAGCAACAGGGTTGCCTTTAATTAAGAAAATCTAGTTTTAGTCCTCCAGGTGAGAGCACCAAAACATGCATCTTCCAAAGTCATTATTGGTAATTAACTTTAAAAAAAAAAGTAACACGCCCATATTTTTAAAAGCAAATGCAAATCTAACAAGTTGTCATTTTGTTCCTCAGCCTAACATACAACAATTGATAACATATCTGTATGATATTAAGCATGACATGATTAACATGAAGAGAAATTCTGTGTCATTTGCAGAAACTCAGGAATAAATCTGTAAATCTTCTACTAAATGTCTTCAATCAAAACCAGGCCTTTGACTTTCTGTATATTTACTGAGGCATGTGAGGGGTTGTGTTTACGTCTGGTTGCGTATGAAGGTGTGTGTATGTGTGCGTATGATTATATGTATGTGTGTTATTTTCATAGTTTTTTTGCCCCCGGCCTGTACAAATTGCAAATTTCCACAGAGTTTGGATTTTCCATATGTTTATGATTAATTCTGACTCTTTTTACATACTTGGAGCAAAATTTAAGTTTTTAATCTGTAAAACGTCTCAGGGCTCATCCACTCTCATTTGATTATGATCAGAATAAAACTAATTTCTTTCACAATATTTTAGAGGGGACCCCAAATAGTCGAAAAGGAGCATGATTCGACTGCCAATCCAGATAAATAGTGTGGGTGAGGTGGCCATTTTGCATGTGTGGGTGTAGCGGGTGTGTGTATGTGCGTGTGATAGAAGAAAGACAGAGCATCAGTTGCGCCAGTGTTATGATGAGTTGTGTGTGCACCTTACAGGTCACTTGAATCATTCATCACCGTTGATGAACCACACAAAGAATATTATATAATTTTTACATGGAATGGACCCACGAGGAACCAAGAGGTGCAAGCAATTCTTGGCGGGGATGCACAACTATGCACAAGACTGGTCAATGGCAGGCGAGCAGAGCGAAGACAAAAGGGTCAAGAATAAGACTCAGTTTAGCTGTAAATGTACAGTGTCAGTTACAGTGATCAATGAATAGAGACTGCAGCTCTGCAGCTTCTCAAGATTAAAGCGGAGCTCTGTGTGTGACCTCATCCCCACTACCACACACACACACACACACACACACACACACACACACACACACACACACACACACACACACACACGATTCGACGATCAATCGACTATAGGCAAGACTTGACAATCCTGAAAGATGGGAAACTATTTAAGTGATGGAAACCGTAAGGAAATGCAGGAAATGAGTAGAACCTAAAGAAAGCTGGCTATTTTGGAGTGTGACATGTAAAACTTGCATTTACAAGTCATGTAAATGATTGTTTGACAAGGATTGTTACCAAAATTGGGGGCAGTGGTGCCCTATACGTTAGAGAAACACACTGCGGTTGTTAGCTGGATATGGAGAGGAAGTGAAAGAGCAACACTTGCCCTTCCTTTATTACCACAAATAAGGTGCCCTCAAACAAGGCATTCAACCCCGTACTGGCAGCTGCTCAGTGGCCAGCAGATCAGTCGTTCTGACGGTGTGACTGTGTGTAACTATGTCAGTGTGATTAAGGCGTTCATGATACAGAAAGTCTGGCTCTCAGCAATACATCCCTGGTTAAATCAAGGCTAAAAAAACATTTTCGTTTGTTCTGTTTCTTTGTCAAAGTTTAAAAAAATTGAATCTGACTTATTTGGCATTTGTTTGATCATTTCTTCATCCTTGAAGTCGGGTTCAAATTAGAAGAAGTCGAGGCTGATTTAGGTCCGATTTGCCCCTTCAAAGCATTACAGAGAGTTCCACACATGATCACCCTGCCCCAGATAATTTCAAACCTGTTTGATATAAATCTGAACTGAATGTTACTGCTCTGCACAAGTCATCCTTACGTCTGGATGAGAGATTCTACCACAATGCAAGAAAAATAAACCAAGAGGCAAAAGTTTTAACTAAAAGACTTCAAATGGATTGTGTTTCAGTCATACAGAGCTTTCTATGTCGGGCAATAAACTTTACTTTAAACTCAATAAACTTAACTGTGCTGTCACATTTCTTAGAAGTTTCTCCTTTCACATTGCAAGAGGACTTTTAAAATGGCAGCTGCTAAAAGTCAGCATGTTTTTATTTGTTAGAAACACAACTGCAATGTATCTTAAGCAAAATATTGTAACAGCAAAGACAAAGAGGACAGCCGGAGAAAACACACTGGTCTTGTAGTTTTGCAATTTGAGAGCAAATAATCTGTGAAATGTCTCCTCATGTATGAGATGTAGTCTGATTTCATGAAGAAACACTCACCTCTCATGGGTGAATGGAGTCCATATCTGGTGATAGGCGACTGTTCTCCTGAACAAAACAACAGCAAAAAGACCAGAGTCAACACACACACACACACACACACACACACACACACACACACACACACACACACACAAACACACACACAAATATGTACTGGATGCATGGAAGTATTCAGTGAAATTGGCCTCAGATTATGATTATGTAAAATCTTAGCTCACGCAGGGTAAAAGGAGAATGCTGGAATTCTGAATATTTTCGTGAAGATTTAGAAAAAAAGGAACCCAGTGTAAGTTTGTGTTATTTACTGCAAACCTCTCGAGAGTCAAACAAAGTTTATCTGCCATCTGTAGTCCACTACTGTAGAATTAGAAGGGCAGATCTTATCAAAACACTACAAATACCACAAGAAACAAATACAATAGAGCACCAAACACATTCGAACATTAAGTATTGTTATTATTTAAAGCATCACAAGGAATCCATTAAGTAGACATTCACCAGTGAATTGAATTTTTGACCTGCTATGAACAACATACTGCCTGTTATATAGTACCTTCTAAAGAAAATAAATCAGGAGATAAAGAACAGTGTTTGTTTTTCCCCCCAGTGCATCTGCTGTTGGACCTTCATATGGTTCAATGGAGATAATGCTGGGAAATTGGGAGATTTAATGGATACACCATGGATGGATCCCTGGTGGATTTGCCTAATGACCAGAGATCAAAATAATTTGAAAATAATCAACAGGGATTTCCACCAGGGATTGAACTCTGGTCACCTAACAAGACAACAATTTTTCTGATTGACCAGTTAGCAAAACTTGCTATATTAATCATGTCATATTGCTTATCATTTCCAATATTTTAAGCTATAACCCATTTTATTTGACTGCAGGATGAGATGACAGTAGATGGATAGCTGCAGCCTATACAGGCTGGTGGGATCCACGGTAGCCTCTGGAGGTGACTGTTTGCTGATGGAAAGCACCTTAAGAGTCTACAGCTATGCTAGCTGCTCTATGAGTCACTTATGTGATTTTACAACGCGTTCTCATCTTAGTGTGTCATTACCGACGCTTTCAGACAGGGTGACAAAGCATCATTATTTTAAGGTAGAGGTACCCTAGTGTCAGTTTGCTACCCCACCGTTTGCTACGTTGCAGCAAAAAGGAGGCTGACCCTACCTGCTAGCACATTGGCCGTGAGGCACAGCACAGCTGTCGACATGCATAAAGCCAGTGACTTTAGGTTTAGGCACTAACATTTCTGATGGTTATGATTAGGGGAGGGGGCTTCGGGGCACTGTAAACACCTTTAACAGGAACGTAGCTAGCTAGCTGGTGTAATAGTTAGAAATAATCTCTTGTGAATTTCTACAAAATTGATATGCTTGTGTTATATTATGTAGTTTTGGAGCTTGCTAGTTCTCAACTGTAATGTTTTTAGCAGTTATTTTTTATAATCATTTTTCTGTTCCTTGTTATACAGATCTGAATGGTTGCAGTTGCATAACACACAGGTACTGACAACTGTGTGCTGTTGATTTTTATACCAGGTAGGCTTTGTTAAATGTAGGTTTCACATATTGTCATTGCATGAAAATCCAGTGTTAGAATTTATTGTGGTTTGTGTGAAATGAAAACTTTGGTTGGCTTCAATGAGCTAATGGTGTTTCACATTTTATTTATGACCCATTGTGGAATTCTAGAAGGTCAAGTGTAGAAGTAACCTTATTTTTCACTATTCATAAGATGTTGAGGTTTTTGTACAATGGCAGTAACATGTTGCATAAAATATGAAATGTTGTTCTATTAATTGTCTAATGGACAAAACGTTTATTTAAAATGTTTGAGGATTTTTATTGTGAATATAAAAGAAAATTGCTCTCATTGTTTAGATGCTCTTTAGAAATCATACATAACGTATCATACATATGATCCTGTGTTTGGTTTATACTAGTATGGACAGAAAAAGACTACAATACTGTTGCAGTGTGAAAATGTATTTTATATTAGTCTTTTGTAAACACAGGTACTGATGACTTTTTGATTTTTATACCAGAATAAACGAGGAACCACAGTGAGAGCAAGTCCCGTGTGACCGTGCCGTCCTTCCACACCATAGACACAAAAGGGACACATTCACCATAAGTCCACAGACAGATGCAGGGTTACACTGGCACTCATGCAAGGCAAACATGGAACGTGCCAAAAATCTCTGGAAAATACAACATTCTGGAAAATAAGTAATACTTTATCACCACAGCAACACACTGGGGGAAATCACTGGTAGATGACTTTTCCACAGACAAATGCCAGTGCTGGAGACAAACCAAAGAAAGAGGAAGAAGAGGAAGAGGAAAACCAAGATTCACAAGAGAAAACCTGCTGACATCTTGGAATTTGTAAAAGCTTCACTATGACTGTATTGATGCCACAGGTATCGTGATACCTATGGAAAGGGACACCCCAGAGCGTCTCCCACAGACAAATAACAATAATAAAATAATAAGTGGTCCGACCAACAGAGCGACTCACAAACCAACATTGCCATCCCTGGATCACTGCTAGCTTGGTTAAAAAAGATGTCTCCCACATCACAACTCTTTAGGTTATACCAGCGGGTTATAAAAACCAATCACAATTAAAATTAGTGACTATTGACAATTAGTCAAATCAAAAAAGTTAACCTAAATACATATATAAGTCAATAACATAAGAATACCACTCACATCATGTAATAGAATTTAATGACTACAAAGCATATTAATAAGAAATGTTAAAAGCAATTTTGTGTTGCCAACAAAAGTCATGATTATTTAGTTTGGCTAATCTCAGTAATACAAATCACAGTTTAAACAGTAACATATGTTACATGTTAAAATGCTTCAGGTTTCCACTGATTGACAGCCAGTGTTGCTGTTGGCTTGTGACACTCAGGATCACCTTCCTCCCTCTCAGGATTCGACTCAGGATCAAACATAATACACATTTGGTGTCACGTTATACACCGTCTCTTGACAGACTGTTATGGCAGCTGTTTCAGTGACCTTAACATACTATTTAAACAAACACAGAAACACTTCAAAAAAGACCAGATTGTGAACATTCTTGGTGGAACATTGTGTATTTTATGAAAACCTGCACTGACAACAAGTGTTAATAATTTTATTAAACTGGGGAGCTGGATATACTCTTACCAACTAGTAAAATGTGAGTTGTCTAAAATATTGTTGAATAAAATGTTCTGTTGGTTATCAGTGGGCCCCATAGGCCCAGACCCACCAAACCTGATCATTGTGCCCATGGAAATAAATGTAACAGGACTGGAACTCGCACATTTCTCGATTAATATATTGTTTGGTCTATTAAATGTCAGAAAATAGTCAAAAATGTTGTACCACAGCGCAAGGTGATAACTGTTTTATATGCCCAACTGTCCAAAACCCAGTGGTATTCAATTAACATCTCAAAAGACAACGAAAAACAGTGAAAAATTATCTATTATCAAAATAGACTGCTGATTAATTTTCTTTTGAGCGGCTAATCAAGAAATAGACAAATCATTTCAGCTCTAAATTGGACATTTTTACTACAAGCCATACGCTTTTGTCAATGTCAGGGATATTAATTGAGTTCCTACAGGGATGTTACTGAGATGGCTGGGTACAGTGTTTGCTCCTTCTAACAAGTTGCCACTGTGGCAGATTGGGATTGTGTATGCCGTGAGTCACCCCAGCTCTGCTGTGTGAGCCAGTGCAGACATTGGATTGGGACAACTGGGGTATGTGGACCTCAAACCAGTGAGCCTCCCAGGTGTTTTTCATAGAAAAATGGGGTTTTATGTGGGTGCATAATGTTGTTAATGTTTTTTGATAATTTTGTGGATGAATACAATATCAGAAATTAGTGAGAAATGCCCCTCACATTTTTCCAGAGACAAAGTTTCTTCAAACTGCTTGTTTTGCCTGACCAACAGTCCAAAAGCAAACAAATGTTGGCATTTGGGACAATGGCAACATTCTTGGGAGTTTTTTTTCTCAATTATCAACTTAATTGATTATCATCAGTTTCATTTAACTCATCTTTTTATTGTCCTGCGAGAAATTTCATCCATTAAAAGAGTGTAAGCAGGATGATAAAATGATTTGTTGTGAGGTAAAATTGAGGCAGTTCATGTTGTCTTTTAATTTTGGTAATTAACCTGTTGCACTGTTTTTTGTTGCTGTTGATTCATTTCTGGTAAATACCTAATTTATTAACTTTTGAGCACTGGACTGCTATATGACCAAAACCCTAATATCAACTCTAATGTTGTCTTCTTCAAACCCCAAGATCTTGCTTGTTGTGCAGACACTTTGTAAAATATAAACTTTCCATTCTAGTCAAAAACAAATATTTGGAAATGTTAAGACATTCAAGGCATCTACTTCCTTTTGATGTGCTGGAAAAAGAAGGCATGCTGGACTGGAATTTATAATAATTTAGTTAGTGTGATGAAGCTCCACATGGGTCGAGCTCTCACACATGCATTACCACAGGTGTAAATACCGGCAAATGGTCGTGGATGTCGTCTTGTGTGTGCTCTCCCTCTTCTTCTTCTTCCTCCTCCTCCTCTTCTTCAGCTTCGCTGTTCTGTCTGTTCTCCTCCTCATCCTCCAGCTCTGAGCTAGACTCTTCCCCTTCCTGCCACGCCTCCTCGCTCTTACACTCCTCTGCCTTCCTCAGCTCTGCATGAACACATACCAACAAAGGCACAAAACCCCAAAAATTAAAACAACGGTGAAATGTATAAATTGACCAGGACATGGACATGGTTATAATGAAAGGACTTTCTTTGTTTCCTCTCTATTATGCTTTAAAAAAAAACATATAACAATCCTTTTATGATTGAAAGGAGAGACTGATTTGAAGAACTGATTTTAAAAAAAAAAGTGTCCTGAGAAACAATAACAAAGCAACAATGTAAAACCAGAACCAAAACAAATGGAACAACTAAAATACACACAATACTCATACTCACATGCTTTAAATGATCCTAAATCTTAATATGTAAGACACAGAGTTGTCTCAGGTAAAAGGCAAAGCATCATTTACAACCAACAATCCTGGTTGTACTAGGCATTTCATACTTGAAACTGACTTTCAAATGCCACACATCCACATGTAGCCTTGTTGTTAAAGACAAATTCCATATCACCACCAATAAATAATTAACCCTAATGTTCTTTTCATGGAGACCCTGGGCACTCTCAGATCAAAACATACATAACACTGTTTCACCATATTGATACTTAATATCATAAGTCTGTTACAACAAATGACACGTTACCCCTGTTTGGGGTCTCAGAGATTCCAGCTGTAAAACATGGTAAAACATAACAGATTTTCACATGCTGTATATCTGTGATTGATGTGGACAGTATGTTTTACACAGCACAGCCCCCAAGGCACAAATAAGTCTATGTGGATTTCTGTTATTGGAATTTTATGTCAGTTTGTTCATAATGGATCAAACAGGGATTCAGACCTCTCTGGGGCTCAAACATTAATAACTTCACTGTTTAGGATAAAATACTGTACATACTGTATCTTACTGTAATACTGTATTTTTGGCTGAGAATAACTTGTGGTAAACAAAATTAATATATTTGTTCAGGCATTTGACATATAAAACATGAAACATTCCCTTAATTGGTATAATGACAATTCTTAATTGTAATATACTTAACTATTATTACTTTTACTCATATAGAAACAATAAGGGAGTACAGCCAATCTCATCAAAACACATGGATTAAGCCTCCAACTAGCCCCAGCAAGGAACATTCTCTGGCGCTTCCTATGTATAAGAGAAACACCAGACCTCTGAATCGTTTGACAAAATTGGGCTGTGGGCTGTGATTCAGAGGCCTGGAATCAGGCAAGACTCACACAAGCTTTTTTCATACTTGGTTTTGTTTCTGAAGCTACATCCCAGGCTCCTGGTACAGATACAAGCTCAGTGTTGAACTCTGTCCAGCTCCACATGTTTTCAGAGAAAGTATGGTTTCGTATTTTGACAATTCATGAGCATTTTTCATGCCAGTTAATACTGTAAACACGTAGGTGTACTTTTACTGCACAGGTGGGTATGTCCCTTTTGAATATGTCAAGTGAGACAAAAATCTCTTTATTTTTCATAATGTCACATGGAAAGTTTCACTGAGATACAATTCATTTAATAGTTGTATGGAAGACATTTTTCTGGTCAGTACAGAAACAGTGTGTTCTGTTTGTAATGCTTTGATATATGCTTTCAGAATGCCTTTTTAAGTTGTCCCTGTAGTTTACCATTAACAGAGCTTAATACTAAAGCAAAAAATCTTTCTGAGAAACATATTTAAATGTATCTGATTTGTTAGTGGTTATGGTTTCCTAACTACATCTGTCCTAAGCCTTGCGATGTTTTACACTAAGGTCAGGGTAAAGCAGTATGGAAATTAAATATTCAGTCTCTCCAGCTCTAGTTTCTGCACCAAAAATAAACAAAACCAATTCAAAGATATAAGGTAAGGTAATAAACACGCATTCCCAATGACAAAATATTCCTATGATGCTACAGTAAGCATTTAAAGAAAATGCTTTTCAGAGCTGCGGGCCTCACATGGACTGTGCAGGTCCAGAAATCTTAAGTCTTCTGTAAATCACAGTGTTCTGAACTGCAGCTCAACAGCAGATGGGAGAAATATGTCTTGGCCTCCCTCTGGGCCCTTCTGCATGCTGTTATCCTGTTTTACCATAATTATACTTAACATTAAAAATACTAAACAACATGGACATAAGTCAGAGTGATGATTGTCCCCAACTGCATGCTTATACAGCAGAATGTAACCTTTTTGTGTGATTTCAGTTTTGCTTTGGTATGTACAATATGTTTTTTTGTTTGCATGCAGTGTTTGGCTGTGACACCTCACAGAGGGCATAGTTTTCTCAGTTGGTTTATTAGTGCTTACGTTTTACAACTGTGTGGTAGTTGTTTTGTTGTTTCACCTTTCTTTTGTTTTATGAATTTAAATGGGAATAATTATAGCAGAAAACAGCATGCAAATAACTGGACAAAATACCTCCAAACTGGTAGGTGTAAATTAAATTTTCTTTCTATTTCTGACACTATTTTATGTCATATCTGTATTTAATTATTCTATCTGGTATCTGAGATGTTTTGTATATGACATACGAGTTATATACAAAACATATGGAAAATCAAACTACGTACAGAAAATAAAATCTGTATGAAAGTGACACACCTGTGTTTTTAGTTTTTTGTATAAAAAGTGGCAAAACCTATAACTATACTACACTATACTACAATATTAATTTTGCTGCTATTGTGGGTGCTAATACACACAAACATGTTCAACAGACCAGAAGTTCTTTTTTTATATGATATTTTATGTGGCCATCAATGATCAAATAATATTCTCCTGAAGTACATGTTAAATGTTTAGATTCCAATCTTAATGGGCCATGAACAAACAAAATCCTTTCATCAAGGAAAATGAATGCTCTCAATGCTAAATAAGATAACAAATCCAAAGACATATAGATTTTTACATGTCATGGTTTCACAGGGTGTGTTGACCAGTGGTGTAAGTAAACACAGGATGCATGTAAGAAACAAACTACATTTGTGGTTGTGGCCAATTGGGATTACTTACACATACAGATTAAGACCATGGAGTTCCCGAAATGTTTTATACTGAATTCAAGTGCTCCTCGATTGGCCTCTTCTGGAGCTGGGAAGTCGTTCTTCCAACTTCAGTGTGTTCATGAGCTTTAAGTCATAATGTGTAACAGCATAGATGTTTTCGTATAGTGCCAGTGTGATGGGTTGTTATGTATGTGATGCTGCTGTCCAAGTATGCTGACAGTTTGAAGCTTAGTTATCTTGTCCCAGATTTGTTGCTGCACCTGAATGTTCCCTAAAACCACTAAAACATTGCTTTACCTGACTTGTTTTCGGGGTTAATTCTAATAAATATCTAATCTAGGTAACTCTATGTGGACAGCAACTAATGGTTACAAACTAACACCCTGTTATAAATTACTATTAAAAGTGAGCAAAAAGCATTTATTTCGTCTGCCGTCTTTTTGCATAATATAACAGCAAATCGTGTACCAAATTTTTTCACAGACTTTCTGAGTTGTTGTTCCAACTTTGGGGGTATTCAAGTTTCCAAACCATGTTGTAATTATTGTTGTATTTAAATTGTTCAGAACAAATAAAAACTCAGATTTAGCTTGAGGCAGGCAGATCTGATCTGAACCTTAACACCAGCTTACATCCAGAAAGATTGGTTATAACCCACAGTATGTTTTTGGCATTATTTTGCCTGCACATCTTTCCACTGGCAGATTTTTTTTCAGCAGGTGTTTTATCATGGGTTGAGCCTGATTTATAATGCAAATAAAGATGTGGCCTCAGTGACTTTTTCATTGAATGAGGGCATCAAAAAACCCAAATACACTGCTCAAAAAAATAAAGGAAACACTTAAACAACACAATGTAACTCCAAGTCAATCACACTCTGTGAAATCAAACTGTCCAGTTAGGAAGCAACACTGATTGACAATCAATTTCACATGCTGTTGTGCAAATTGAATAGACAACATGTGGAAATTATAGGCAATTAGCAAGACACCCCCAATAAAGGAGTGGTTCTACAGGTGGTGACCACAGACCACTTCTCAGTTCCTATGCTTCCTGGCTGATATTTTGGTCACTTTTGAATGCTGGCGGTGCTTTCACTCTAGTGGTAACATGAGACGGAGTCTACAACCCACACAAGTGGCTCAGGTAGTGCAGCTCATCCAGGATGGCACATCAATGCGAACTGTGGCAAGAAGGTTTGCCGTTTCTGTCAGCGTAGTGTCCAGAGCACGGAGGCGCTACCAGGAGACAGGCCGGTACATCAGGAGACGTGGAGGAGGCCGTAGGAGGGCAGCAACCCAGCAGCAGGACCGCTACCTCCGCCTTTGTGCAAGGAGGAGCAGGAAGGAGCACTGCCAGAGCCCTGCAAAATGACCTCCAGCAGGCCACAAATGTGCATGTGTCTGCTCAAACGGTCAGAAACAGACTCCATGAGGGTGGTATGAGGGCCCGACATCCACAGGTGGGGTTGTGCTTACAGCCCAACACCGTGCAGGACGTTTGGCATTTGCCAGAGAACACCAAGATTGGCAATTTCGCCACTGCCGCCCTGTGCTCTTTACAGATGAAAGCAGGTTAACACTGAGCACATGTGACAGACGTGACAGAGTCTGGAGACGCCATGGAGAACGTTCTGCTGCCTGCAACATCCTCCAGCTTGACCGGTTTGGCGGTGGGTCAGTAATGGTGTGGGGTGGCATTTCTTTGGGGGGCCGCAGAGCCCTCCATGTGCTCGCCAGAGGTAGCCTGACTGCCATTAGGTACCGAGATGAGATCCTCAGACCCCTTGTGAGACCATATGCTGGTGCAGTTGGCCCTGGGTTCCTCCTAACGCAAGACAATTCTAGACCTCATGTGGCTGGAGTGTGTCAGCAGTTCCTGCAAGAGGAAGGCATTGATGCTATGGAATGGCCCGCCCGTTCCCCAGACCTGAATCCAATTGAGCCCATCTGGGACATCATGTCTCGCTCTATCCACCAACGCCACGTTGCACCACAGACTGTCCAGGAGTTGGCGGATGCTTTTGTCCTGGTCTGGGAGGAGATCCCTCAGGAGACCATCCGCCACCTCATCAGGAGCATGCCCAGGCATTGTAGGGAGGTCATACAGGCATGTGGAGGCAACAAACACTACTGAGCCTCATTTTGACTTGTTTTAAGGACATTTGGATCATCCAGTTGGATCGGCCTGTAGTGTGGTTTTCCACTATGATTTTGAGTGTGACTCCAAATCCAGACCTCCATGGGTTGATCAGTTTGATTCCCATTGATAATTTTTGTGTGATTTTGTTGTCAGCGCATTCAACTATGTAAAGAAAGGAGTATTTAATGAGATTATTTCATTCATTCAGATCTAGGATGTGTTATTTTAGTGTTCCCTTTATTTTTTTGAGCAGTGTACATCTTCAGAGGACAGCACAGGAAGTAACATCATTGAGACAAGACATATTTCATGTTGTTTCCTGCTCATCTCTTGATGTGACAATTCTATTCTTTCCCCAGGAATCTGAAGCGCACACATGGCTGCCAGAAAGTTTCTGATGAGGACGTGAGAGTTTATCATTAAATCAAACTGTTGAAGCTCCTGAAAGCTCCTGGCTTTAAAGTATTTCTCTATATCAAATATTCATGACTAAATAAGGAACAACTTAAATTACAAAACCATCTTTAGGTATTATTTATTATGAGTTACATTCAAAAATGTATCAGGATATGTGGGTGTGGTTTGAGCAGATTAGACTGACAGCAGCCAAACAACCCACAAACTGTCAGCAGATTCTGATTCAAATGTTGCCAAATCCTGATTGGTGCAATATGGATGTGAAAACACCTTTTTATTTGTTAATATATAAAAGTCATATATGCATTTCTCACTTGTATATTCAATCAGTTCCAGGTCCAGTCAGTCAGTGATGATTGTTTTTTCATTGTCATCATCATCATCATCATCATCTACTGCATATGTCTCATTTAATCCAAAGAGTTCAAGGTAGACACAAAACTGCTTCTATTTGGGACACCAGGGATCACTGAATGGTATATTTTAAATTGTATAAAAATTAACCAAATTTTATGCTATGGCCTTTATAGTTACTTATTATAGTTATCAGATCTCAATCCAGTTGAACACGTGGGAGATTTTGGAGCAATATGTGAGACAGTGCTCTTCACCACCATCATCAAAACTTTATCCTATCGTTCTTTGGAGAATGGTGTTCATCCCAAGACCTGGAGAATTTCTAACATAGAGCACTGAAGATGTTGTTTTTTCCTTTTATTTGTCACTTATCCATACACAGACAATATTCTCAAAGTTCATACTAATCCTGCACTGTAGGTTAAAAGCCTGATGCTGGTTGTCCTGAGCTACCTCCTCAGAGACCCCAGCAGTTTTGTGGGTTTATTGTGTCCAAACGCATTAAATGCTTTTAACAGATGAGCTTCAGACCATTTTCTCACAGATTTCATATTTCACCTGTATGTAACACTTAGTACCTGCCAAGATATTGGCAGATATTCGGCTCCTTGCATGCAAGACCAACAGAGTATCTCTCAAAACTGTTGGGATGCAGCCAATGTGCTGCAGTTCCTCCCAAAACATGTACAACTCTGTAATGCACTCTCAGTGAGCATGTTTTGGTCATCTTTAGGTCAAAAGATATGTAGATGTCTAGGTTAAAACTGGGCTTTATTTAAAAAAATAACTTTTTAAGACCACTTAAAAATATCAACCCCTTGTTTCAAAAGCTTAAAGCAATTTGTTGTTTGGACCTGCATCATGACAAAATATAATCACTGGAATGCGAACCCCCAACCCTGAGATTTATGTCCCGCTCTACATCCTGCACCACATGCATACATGTATGTATGCATTTTAACTTACAAAGAAACACTTCAGTAAATGATTTTGTAATGACCAAATAATTTTGCCATGTATCATCAAACAGTTGGATAGCAGTGTGTGTTTAAAAAAAAAAAACACACATGAAAGAGTCAGAGTTGTATTGGTTGTATTCATAGGTGAAAGGGAGTTCTTTACATAGATGTTTGTTGAACTGTTGGCTATGAGCATAATCACATTAACACAGTCACAGTACATTGTTTACATAGACTCCACTTTGTCCTCATTAATCCCATTATGAATGAATTATTTGTGTGTGTTTGCGTGTGTTTCACCTGTGTTGGTGATGTATGTTTCTTCTGTGATCTGCTCCAGTCTGCCCAGCAAAGCTTCAATGTTGGCTTTAATCTGAGTCAACTCTGACTTGATCGCTTGAAGCTCTGTACCTTTCACTGCTGGTAGAGCGCCATAGACGGAGAAAGACCAAAAGAGAGACAGACAGAGAGAGACAGCGCGAGAAAGATGTTAGCGTTCATTTTCTCATTATTAAGTCTGCAGAGAGCAATCTAAACTTTTACATTTTACAAGTTCAGAGTCTTACAAACGTCACTGTACATGTTTGGTACATTATCATGCGGGACATTCTATTTGACAAAGCGTAGATCCTGAAGAGAGCAATAAGGTTTAGAACACGGCAATGTTCTATTGATACTCCAGGGTCGTCACTAATAGGTCTAATCTGATCCATTAAATAATTTGCCACTATGACACCACCAGCAGTTCCCTGCCTGAACTTTTAACAACAGGCAATCGGTCCTTTTCTGATCAATTTCATGTAAATCAGCCAGTTACATTTTGACGTTTATTGTGTACAAGTGGAAAACTCAACATGACAGCAACAATAGAGGAAAGGTCAGGGAATCACCAAAAACATCAATCCCAAAGGATCCATGAACATTTATGCCACATGTCATGACAGCCTGGCCAAAACACATTAAGATATCTTGTTGTGGGTCAAACTGTTGGATGCATTTTCTTGCATTGCAAATAACAGTAGCTCTGTTATTTCATTAGAAATTATACTTTATTTTTGTCATTTAACATGTTGTAGAAATCTACTGAATTATTGGTACAAGCAATGAAATTTGATGTATTTTAGCAAAAATGTATAAATACAATCTATTGAAATATAATGACAACACCTTTTTGTACTTTTTATTTGTACTGAAATAAAGAAATGACAAAAAAGAGAGAAATTCTTCAATGCAAAGAATGGGGTAAGCAGAGTGGGGGTGCAAGTGATGAGTAGATTAGTGGCAGCAGAGAACAACTGGAACCATGCATCACATCTGGCGGTTGTTTTTGTTTCACTACAATGAACTCACAATTACTACCACATTTCACCAAGTGTGTGTGTGTGTGTGTGGTTGTTGCTCAATACACATTCAGCACTCCCTCTCTCTTTCTGTCCTCTCTCTCATTTCCCCACACTCCTTCATCTTTGCTTCTTCCCTTGTTTCTTTCTGTCTCTCTTGCCTTCTCTTTTTCTTTCCTTTCAGTTGCACCTCTTTCCCGTTTTTCCTTTCAAATTCCTTTCTCCTTTCTATTTAATTTGCACTAATTTTTCCTCAGTATTCCCTAATTATCTTCTACATGTTGTCTCTCTTTGATCCACTTCTTTCTGCCTTGTCTTACTATTTTATATTATTTTTGCATCTTGTCTTTATGTTCATTCATTCCCTCTCTTTTCTTTTTCTCCACCTGCCTACCTTCTAGGTTTTGTAATCCTACTTTTTGTCGTTTCATCTGCACTTCTTTCTCCTGCTGTCTTCTCTCTTTCTCAGTATCACCCTTGCCCGTCTTCTTGTCATTCCTCCCTGTTTTCTTTTCTCTTTTGCTGCTGTTCTCTCATCTCTTGTCTCATGCATGTCTGCTAACTTTGTCAATAGAAATGTCTCCATCAGAAAACCATGTGCGTTCAAACCAAACCAGCTGTCTTGTGGCGGGCACTTGGTATGCTTGCACACAACAAGGTGAAATTAAATGCAAACACACATACACAACACAATCTCATATGTTTTAGTAAATCCAAAGAAGTACACATTACATGAAAATATTTTATCTTTGATATTGAAAAACCTGAGATGGGACCTCAGGTTGACCTCTCATTCTGGTTTCAATTCTTGACGCTTTTTCAGTACACAACTCACTCACAGTACACTTTAAATTGCACAACCTTTGACATTACAACCAGAGCTACCTACCAGCAAAAGGTGGCAGTTTTAGTCTCCAGTATCTAACACAATGAGACACCATACTATTGCTCTGATTGACCCTTTGCTTTTTAGTTTCACTTTCTAAAGATTAATGTTTTGACACATGAGTTAAGGTTTTGGTCTTGCTCTGTTCCCTGTTTAATAGTTGTTTATTCACTCCCTGCCTCTGTGTTTTGGTTCCATTTTCTCTGTTGTTTCATCCCTGTGTCCTGTCACTAGCTTTACTTGCTGTTTTATTTTGTATTGTTGGTGTCTGGTGTTTTAGTCTAGCTTTGTTTTTGTCTGTCTGATTCTTAATGTTTTTCACCTGTACCCTGCCTGCTTGTGTGTGTATGTGGTGGGCTCCTGTATTTGTCCTCAGTTGTGTTCAGTCCTCATGGTGTTTGTCATTGTTTGTCAAGGGTTTTCCTGGTTGTCTCTGTGTTTGCCCTGCTGTGAATTGTGATACCCTGTTTGGATTTATGTTTCATATTTGGATTCCTGCATTTGTTTTGACTTCTGCTACACCACATGTAAGCCTGAGTATTTCTGTTAGTATTAAAATAAATTTTACAAATTGCATCGGAGCCTCTGGTGTTGGTATCTGGGTCCTACACTCGGTTTCCTGCCTCGACACTTGGCCACTGTGTGATAATAGCCTTCTTCAGGGTAAGATTGATGTTTTGACAGATAGCCTGTCAAGTCATACAGGTGCATCACAGAAAATTATAATATTGTGGAAAAGTTCATTGTTTCCATAATTTAAGTCACAAAGTTAAACTTTCAAGTATTCTAGATTCATTACACAAAGTTAAATATTTTGGGCCTTTTCCTGTTTTAATCTTGATAATTACGGCTTACATCTCATTGAAATCAAAAATCAATATATCAAAATATTAAAATAAAGACTGTATAATACAGAAATGTCAAATGGAGTGTGGTAGGAAAAGGTGCACAATCAACAGGCATGACCGTAGCCTTGAGAGGATTGTTAAGCAAAGCCGATTCAAGAACTTGGGGGAACTTTACAAGGAGTGGAAATGACGAAATAAGCTACAAGAGACAACATCAGAAGTGTCTTACCTGGCCTAAGGAGAAAAAGAACTGGACCGTTGCTCAGTGGTCCAAAGTCCTCTTTTCAGATGAAAGTAAATTTCGCATTTCATTTGGAAAACCAAGAGTCTGGAGCACGAGTGGAGAGGCACAGAATCCAAGTTGCTTGAAGTCCAGTGTGAAGTTTCCACAGTCAGTGATGATTTGGAGTGCCCTGTCATCTGCTTGTGCTGGTCAACTGTAATTTATCAAGTCCAGAGTCAATGGAGTCATCTACCAGGAGATTTTAGAGCACTTCATGCTTCATCTGCCGACAAGCTTTATGGAGATGCTGATTTCCTTTTCCAGCAGGACTTGGTACCCGCCCACAGTGCCGAAACGACTAGTTACTGGTTTGCTGACCATCATATTAATGTGCTTGATTGGCCAGCCAGCTTGTCTGACCTTGTCTGTCACTTGCCTGCCTCTTGACAATACCCCAGTATTGTTCAGAGTAAGGAAAGAGACACCACACCCAACAATACAGACGAGCCACTATCAAAACAACCTGGCCTTCCATAAAACCTCAGCAGAGACACAGGCTGATTGTCGCCATGCCACGCTGCATTGATGCAGTAATTAGTGCAAAAGGAGCCCCGACCAAGTATTGAGTGCATATATGAACCTTTTTCACAACTTTTCTACTTTCAGAAGGTCGACATTTCTGTAATATACAATCTTTATTCTAATATTTTGAGATAAGGATTTTTGATTACCATGAGCTGTAAGTTGTAATGGTCAAGTTTTAAACAAAAAAAGGCCTGAAATATTTCACTTTATACTCTGAACAAAGTTATAACGCAACACTTTTGTTTTTGCCCCCATTCATCATGAGCTGGACTCAAAGATCTAAGACTTTCTCTATGTACACAAAAGGCCTATTTCTCTCAAATATTGTTCACAAATCAAAGTCAAAATCCATCCACCTGGGGCATATCAAGATGCTGATCAGAAAGCATGCGTATTGCACAGGTGTGCCACGGGTCCTCACAGCTGATTGGCACTGTGCTTCATGGTGGATGGGGAGTCCAGCCCAGCTGCTTTGTGAAGTTTCTTTCTCCCGAACAGTCTGTTGACATCACTCTCCAGGATGGGGGAGGAGGTGGAAGATGAGATGGTGGACTATGGCCGATCAGTAGTGTAACGGGGGATGGTGTCAGGTCTGTCACATTGTCTTTCAAAGCGACAGTAAAACTGGTTCAACTCGTTGGCAAGGCTTAAGTTGTTCATGGAGTGGGGGGATTTAAGTTTGTAGCTGGTGATCTGTCTGAAGCCTCTCCAGACAGAGGCAGATTCATTTCTTGAGAATTGCTGTTGTAGTCTCTTTGAGTACAGCCATTTAGCATCTCGCACCGCCTTGCTAAACCTGTACTTTGACTCCTTAACCCTGGCCCAGTCTCCGCTCCTAAATGCCTCTTCCTTTTCCAACCTCAGCTGTCTGAGTTTAGCTTTGAACCAGGGTTTGTTATTACTCACCCTGGTGCGTGTTGGAATGCAGCTGTCCTCACAGAAGCTGATGTAGGATGTCTTAGCCTCTGTATACTCATCCAGACTATTGGTAGCATCCCAGTCAGTGCGTTCCAAACATGCCTGAAGGTCCTCTACAGCTTCACTGGTCCACTGCTTTGATGTCCTCATTACAGGTTTATAGAGCTTTAATTTTTCTCTGTATGCAGGAATCTGGTAGACTATGACTTGGTCAGAGTGTCCCAATTAAGGACAATGGGGACAGCGTATTAGGCATTGCTTACTGTAGCAGTGATCCAGAATGTTATCTTCTCTGGTTGGACACTTTATAAGCTGTCTGTATTTTGGGAGATCATGGCTGAGGTTTCCTTTGTTAAAGTCACCAAGAACAAGAACTAAGGAGTCCGGGAATGTCCGCTCTACCCACAGTATCTGGTCAGCCAGTGTGTGCTGTGCGTCGTGGACTGAGCAAGTAGCTAGCAAACCCGCAGGGAGAGTAAAATAGTTTACAGTGTATCAGGAAATATTCCAGGTCATGAGAACAGTGCTGCTGAATCACTGTCACATTGTTACACCAGCCACTGTTAATGTAAAAACAGACACCACCACCTTTTGTTTTGAGAGTTCTGTGTTGTCCGCTCTGTAGACCTGGAAGCCAACCAGCTGCAGCGTGGAGTCCAGTACTGATCCACACACACCACTCCTCCATGAAGCACAGAACAGAAGATGAATAAAAGTCTCTGTTTTTTTATTGCACAGTGAGTGCACGTTGGAGGGAAATATTAATATAATGGTGTGCGGTGTCCTCTTCGGCGTAGTCGCAACAGCATACAGGACCTCATCCCCCTCCGGCGTCTCACCGCATGAATAACGGAGAGTGAAGCCTTGAATGTGTGAAGCCAGAATGTCCAATAATTCCACTGATAACACGAAAAAAGTTGGAATTAAATCCACTGGTGTTGTTCCCCTGATGTTTATGAGCTCTTTTCTGGTGCAAGGGCTCGGGGTATCACAGCAGAATGCAAAGTTAACAGACATAAACAAAACAAACAGAGCCCACGGCTGCCCTGAGTTGCGCCATCTTGAAGCCAAGCAGTAAATAATTCATCAAATGAGTACTAAAAGGCAAGCCAATTTTATAAGCAATGCTATTGGATACAAAGAGAATGTAAATGAGTGACAGGCATTTATGAAGCATAAATGTTTGATCAAAACATATATCAAAAAAAGATCCATGGCTGATCTTCATGAACATAACAAGTCCTCATACCTAAACAAACAATAGTTCTTCCAAAATTACCCTGATTTGACATCCACATTGGCAGAATAAGAACAAAATAGGTCGTTTCTTAGTGCCTTCCAAAATGACTATAGCATAAACGATGCATCCAGAAATGTTCTGATCTGCCACAAATATGGTTAAGATCTGGTTGGGTATAGGCAACCGAAACTACTTGGTTGTCATCGTTTTGTGATGATGTCAAAGTTCCAACCAAACTCCTTTCTAGGAGTTTTTTTGATGCTATAACTCAGCACCGTTATTTCTGTCTTTGCTTCTAATAGACATTATTCGCAATACAACATTTTGAACAAACGACTAATGCTGTCATTTTTCTGGTGAAGACAGTCTTGGTGAAGAGATAAAAGGGAAATATAGAACAGGAGGAGAAAAAAACTCAACAATCTAGAGTTCCTCATAGGTCGCCCCAATCGCACACAAGGATTACGATGCAGCCCTGTCTCACTAATAGTGACAGCAGCGTTGCCGCTCAATACTGGACCAATTTCGACATTTTTTTTCCCAATTAGTTACACAGACACAAAAACATGGGGGGAAAGGATTAAGGTTGAAAAATACCGAAGTTCGCCTTTAACATAGGCAGGGCTTGTGGGTATACACTGAGCACTAGAGGGGAAAAGTGCAAACTGTCAGCTCTTTATTTTGACCTTCCTAAAAGTAAGTGGTAAAGAACAAAAACTCTAGTGTGTGATCTGTTTTGATATTGCTTTTCAAAACCATTTGAAATGCAAGTTTGATGAGTACACAGAAAGACACTCAAATCAGTGACATGAAAACTGCTTTGTGAGCTCTGCACAAAGTGAAATTCAGTGAAACTCTGCAGAAATAAAAAAAACTGCTGTTGGGAAAGAAAGCTTCAGGTCGAAGTCAAATATGAAAGGAGCTGGCAGGGTGTCAGCATCTCTCTTCAGATCCACAATCTGAACATGATGTGAAATGAATGTTTAATGCGCAGAATTCAAAAAGAAAGTGACAACAGTTGCCCTGATGCTTGAACCTTTCACTGACATGTAAAACAAAGACTTGAAATATAGATGAAGGGGAGGTTTGGGTCACAAGGGTGGAGTTAGAGTCAGGAAAATGTAAGAGAAAAAATAATAAACGAGAGAAAAGGCCAAGGAGGGATGTACAGACAGAGACCTTTGCAACTGGTCAGTTTTAACAGAGGGCATGCTACTGAGCCCTTCAAATAAACAGCTCACGTGCTGTGGTTTGTAGCAGTCTTTAACACCCAAAACTTTAAAGAAAAACAAAATGCAACCAAAATACGGCATTGGGCTCTGACTTTGAGAACTTCACCAAACCTAAGCGGAAATTTAAATCTGAATATATTCACCAACGGGCAACATATACTTAATGTTTACATTCATAATCTTACAATTTGACCTTTCCCTGTTTGCTAATACTGTAAATACAACAATTTCATTTGAACAGCATTTACTGTAATTGCTACTGATACTAAAACAATTACTGTAATGCTATTGTTCCAACTACTACTGCAACTGATACTACAGCTTTTACTGTCATTGCATTTTTAAGCTCCAATTGTACAATGCTTCATCAAAATTTTAAATGTTTTATTATTAACAACACACAACAAAATTTAATTCTCAGACTTTTTTATAAAGTCTCAGACTGACAATTAATCATTCTCTTGTAGACAAATAATGTCTGGAGATTTGACTAAAGTAGTAAGTAGGTTGAAAGCATTGTTTGAAAATGTATTACCTGTGTACTCTGGTTCTGGCTTATATTTGAATTTATGGGGTTTTATAAGCCCATGTGGGCTGAGCATAGTTGTACATTATGCATGACACAGATACAAATGTCATTCATTCATTCATATACTGTATATATTTCTGTGTTTTACAGAAAACGAGAAGACAATATGTCATTTATGGCGACCATCATTATTACAATTATGAAATAGCGTCTCAACTTGCAACTGATTAAAAGTACAGTATATTTATGGTGTAGCAGAAAAACTATTTTTTGTTTCCGATAGACTGAAAAGAAATACAGGGGTGTTGATTTGTTGTAATTTTGAAAGTTTTCCAGGGATTTACCTTTCAGAAAAACATATAAGCTGAATTTCACTTGAACGGAGGATTTAGACAGACAGACGGATAACTCACATCTCTGTTTGTTGCCGTTGCTGGTGGGGAGGACAGAGGCGTTACGGGCCAGGAGTTTGACCGGCAGTGTTTTAACTCGTCGTACCAGAGGCACCCCCACACGTGGGCGTTTGACAGGCACCACCCGGGGGACCGGAGACACTCTTCCACGGTACTCAAACAACCTGAAGAGAGAGGGAAGAAGGCAGTTGGAGAGAAGACAGAAAGAACAGAAGGAAAAAGAGGAGTGGGGGGCACAGGAGAGGAGGAAATGAAAGGGAAAAGTTGGGATAGGAGAAGTGGTCAGGGGAGGAGGAGTTGGCATTTGGGAAAATGAGGGAAGGAGAAAAGGGGGGATAAAGACAGGAGTTTTGAATCAGGAGAGGAGAAAGTAGGTATGAAAAGAAGGACCTGAGAAGAAATTAAATTGAAACTTTGAAGACCTTTATTCATCACTTCAGTTTGTGTACTATTTAAACATTTTGGAGGAAACTCAATCCCACCAAGACCACAAATTTTACCAATAGGAAATATTTACAGTATAGTATGTATTTGGAAAGTCTCAGAATATAACTAAATTGTTTTCCCAATTATGTTGTGGGGGAAAACATAATCACTATCTGGAATATGTTCAGTCCTTTGAGTGATTGAAGCATTTATAGCTTTTTTAGCACCGAAGTCGGCGAGAGGTAATTGGATGGATAATAAATTAATAGCAATAAATTTTATTTATAGAGCGTTTTCAATCAAAGTGCTTCACAAAAAGAATACATTTAAAATACAATTAAAATGTAAACCCCAAAGTAAATACCACTTATACAAAGACATCAGAGACAAACAAACATTTAAGACTCATACGCAGCAGCGAATAAATAGGTCTTAAGCGTTCATTTCAAAACCTAATGTTGGTGCGCAAAACAAAAAGGCTCGCTCACCAACCGTTTTCTTCCTAACCTGCGGTACAATCCAAAGTCCTGTCCCATGGGAGTGCAGCCACAGTGTAGGCACATAAGAATTCAAAAGATCAGACAGACATAATGGTGCAAGGCCATTCACTATTTGGTACGTTAACAACAAAACCTTAAAAATATGCTAACCTGAACAGGGAGCCAGTGCAGTGAGGCCAGCACAGGAGTTATATGCAAGTATTTAGATGATTCAGTCAGAATCTGTGCTGCAGCATTCTGGACCATCGGCAGACCTCACAAACTTTTCTTAGGCAGCCCAGAGAACACTACATCACAGATGTAACAAAGGCATGAATAAGGGCCTCAGCAGCACTAATACTGATCTAATATTTGCGATTCTTCGGAGATGAAAGAAGGCTACTTTTGTCACCTCTTTGATACTCAAATAAAAAAAAAAGTCATCAATCAAAAAAGACCCCAAAATTCTTTACTCTATCCTTGCAATGAATGACAGAATCATCAATGGATAGAGTAAAGTTTTCATACAAATTACCTAATCTTGCTGGTCCAATAGCTATCATCTCAGTTTTTGCTGAGTTGAATTGAGTTGAATCCCCCAACATCTGGCTTGGGTATCCTAGTTCGGATGTCCTTAACTCTCTTGTAAAAATACAACATAAAATCATGCGCTGACAAATCCGTACTACTTACTGGCTACTGACACTGTGTAAGTCTATCAACAGTGTCAAATAAAAGTCTAGGGTTATGCTTATTATTCATAATAACATTAGAATAAAAGGCTACCTTTGCAGTAGCCATCCTAGACTGATAGATGGTCAAACTGTCGTGCCATGCCTGATAAGAAACTTCAAGCTTAGTATGGCGCCACTGAGGTTCAGCTTTTCTGCAACGCTTTGAGAGTCAGTAACTCCTCATTTGGCCAAGGTATAGAGGACACTTCCGTGTCTTAGCTGGAGCCACCAACTCCAACAAATCAGTGCACCATTAAAGTTGTCTGTGAGACAGTTCACTGAAAAGGCTTGGCTAAAAACTGGATCCATCACGTGTGGTAGTTTCAAGTTAAGGTCATTTAAAGCACTAGTGCTAATATAACGAGAGAACCTTTTCTTCTGCAACATTTTCCCCATACTAAATGAATTAGGGATAGAAATGTCAAATAATGTCAGTGAGTGATCTGAAATTGGTAAAGCACTGATATTATTAACTGACACAGCTGGTACTTGGTTACTGTGGTGGGTGTACAGTGTACAGGGCTTTGACAAGTCTAGGGTTCATAGATGGAAGCTGTGGGTTTAGGCAACGAAAGCGCCTTGGTAAAGGTTAGTTAGTTAGTTAAGATTGGGGTTTTGGTTAAATTTAAATAAACTGTTCATGTGTCTCATGTTTGAAGTCACTGTTGCCTTTTTCTGTATTAAACCAAGAACATGATCTTTCCCTAACCTTAACCAAGTGCAATCAGCACCAAACATAATGACACAGAAAATCTCTTTATCTCTGTGCTTTTGCAGTACGTACGTACACACACACACACACACACACACACACACACACAGTACAGATGCTTACAGTGTGGTATTTTGGCAGTTGTATACAAGAAATATATCTACATTACATTGTATTGATCTAGCAGGAAAAAATACAAAGCATTCAACTACAGAAATCAAACATTTCATATTCGGAAACTTCTCATAGTGAATTAAAATTAGGATTTATTAGTTTATTTTTTTTTTTTCAGAGCTTCAGTACCGCCATCGATTTTATTTTATTTTGCAAGTACCTCCGGTATTTCAATTGTGTTTTCCATTGTGGTACACTTTGTCCGTCAACATCCCACTTACAAGCTCACAGATGTTTTATTGTTGCTGGCAATTTTAACCAAACAGACCTCAGAACTGTTTTACCAAAATTTCACCAGCATGTCCTCACCCCCACCACAGGTAACAAGACCCTGGACCATGTTCCAACACATTCCTGTCACCTATAAAGCACTCCCCTGCCCCTATTTTGGATAATCACAACACATTTCTCTGCTTCGCTTGCCAATTTACACCCAATTGATTAAAATGAATCAGAGAAAACAGTTTTGAGGACAGATGAAGCAAACATGTTCAGAGAGAACGCCACTCAAGAGAATCACACCAAATTAGAGGAATATGCATCATACATCAGTAAATGTGTTAATAATGTGGGCATCAGAAAGACAATAACATCATTCCCTAATCAGAACACCTGGACGAATGGAGAGGTGAGTGCTTTTAGTCTGTTAGTCAGCTGACAAAGAAGCATACACTACCAAAGCAAGACCGAAAGCTGACATCAAGGAGGCGAAGCTGATGAATCAGGAGAGACTAAAGAGAGAACTCAACACAAACACTATAACCATGTGGCAGGTGATCCAGGTCATCACAGGCTACAAAAGCAGGAGTTTTACCAGGTGAGCTTAAACCCTTTTGTGCTTGCTTTGATCTCCTCAACAAACATAGACTCAGCTGCCAAGTCTGCCCCATCTCTAGTCGACCACTCTCAGTATCCACAGCAGATGTGAGGAGACTCCTGCTGAGTGTAAATATGGGTACAGCTGCTGGGCCTGATAACACTAGTACTAAAAACTTTTGCCTACCAGCTAGCCTATGTCATTACTGACATTTTTAACATATCCCTGTGTTCCCACATGCTTCAAGACAGCAACCATCATCCCTGTACCCAAAAAGTCTGTCTAGACTTATCAATTTCCGCCCTGCTTTCTGATGAAGTGCTTTGAGTAACTGGTTCTCCAGCACTGGTTCTCCAGCACATCAATAGAACATCCAAGCCTGCCTTTGCACAACATTCTGTTATGTTGGTCTTCTTATGCACATTAATATAACATTACCTTTGCACTACCTTTTTCATTCTCATTTCAACATATTGTACATATTGTAATATTCGTTTATACATTTTCTATGTATGTAGCATGGAGGGCGCTACAAGTGCATATTATTGTGCAACATATAGTATATGACAATAAAGCTGAGCCTTTGGACACCAGAAAAAAATGTCTTTGATTCTCTGAATTGTTGGTCATCAACAGTCATTTCTTCCTTTCTGTCTTTCTTTCTTCAGGTTGTTTGACCTTACTGCTGCTCACAGCTGCAGTTAACACATCAGCCATACAGTTCTTGCTTTTGACAGTAAAAGACAATCTGTCTTTATTTTGAGTATTTTCCTTGGCTGTAGAATCTTGTACAGATGTCGTCACTTTTTTAATGTGGAGGTCAAGCAAAAGAATATTAGCCATGCAATGCAGATTCCCTCTTCCCACTCAAATATTAGAGAGAAGCTGACAAAGACAAAGTTATAAAGTGGAAACCACAAGGCTGCTCTGTGTTACTGTCTTTATAAGGATAAATAGTTGTGTAACGTTAAAAAAACAGCTGACCCTTACTGAGGAAAATCATGTTTTTCATGTAGTAGTTTTAAACAAAACACCAACCCCTGTGGATTTAAATCAATAGTACATTAATGTTATTTTGTTTCTCCAGCAATTCAGTCAATTCAATCCTTGGCATCAGTGCCATATGTGGCTATCATCAGCCATTCATAAAGAAGCATGAATGACAATAACAAATTATATCAACTCAGTTGGAAAACAGGTCAAAGTGAACAGATTATCTAAAAAGTTCTTCAAATTACAATATGACACAATACATCATTGATCCACACCCTCCAGAATGACATATATAAGTGGTTTCTGAATATGATGGCACTATGGATAGATTTAGGTACAGCATCCCCTTGTTTAAGGTTTGGGAAACAGCATTGTTTGGGTTAATAAAATCACACTATGACTTACTCAACATGTTGGCCCGTGCTTTGTTGGTAGGTGGGCAAAGAACTATTCCACTTTTCCCAAACATTAAAAAAGAAATAAAATTGTGAACCCCAGATGCAAGTGCATTTGGTCATAGCTAATAAAAAGCTTGTGCTCCAATAAAAACTTAATCCATTCCCAGTAGAAAACACATTGGAACACGTTGGTTGAAAATTCAACTTAGGTCATAAAAGTTGACAACATTTTGGGAGACCTGTGTGTAAAATAGTAATTTAATTTAACCATTCTGACAATACTGACCTTCTTTTGACTTACATCAATGTCTATGAGATATGGTCCAAACTGTGTTTTAACCTTTTGGGACAAGAAGCAACTCTTAGCGTCTGTTTTTGAGTTAACTAGCACAAACAAGGTCCCCCCAGAGATTCTAGATCAACTCAGATTGTTACATATAGTCATAAAACTGTAGGTCTGATAATCAACACAGATAACCAGATGGCAAAGTGCTTTACTCCCCAAACAGATCCACAGGGGTAAAAAGAAGTAATGGTAATTCTTATTGTGTAATCCGAACATTTTAATTCCACCCTTTGGAAAAAACTGTTCTGTTTCGCAAAGCGAATAACCAGAGACCTAGGTCTTTAATCCCCATATTTACTGCAGATCATCCTTCAGGAGATCAATAAACTTTATCCTCAAATCATATCAGGTCAGGTCTGGTTTTGATGTACACAATTTAAGAAAAGCGAAAAGTAAAAAGACAGGCAGAAGGATTGACAGAAGTTAAAGATAAATATGTATATAGATATCTATAGATCTCTCTCTCTCTCATTTATATATATACATACACACACACACACACACACACACACACACACACACACACACTACATATGGACTACTATGGGGTTCTGCTCTTTTTGCTTTGTTGTAAAATGTGACTATTTTGTTTCAGACTGCTGAATATGCTCCAGAGACTTGGTTGTTATTTCTGCTGTCTTTGTCTCCATTTTAGATAATTTAATGAGAACCGTCAGACTACGACAGTGGCTAGTTGGTTATTTGCTTCCAAACTGACGTGGTTCATGTCTGGGGGTTCTTGAAAACGTAAATCAAAGATTTTGGGTCTGACAACGTCTTCGGAGCTCCATGTATGAGTCGAAAATGAGATGAAAAAATCTGATCTGTGTTGGAGGAACAGTGGGACAACAAATGGATTAATAGAATGACGAATTAATCGATATATTGCGCAAGCTCACCATGTGTTAGGTCCCAGCACTAGCACTAAAAACAAGCCCTTGTTTTCCCAGTATTTCACATCAAGTGTGCAAGCAGGGAGGTTACTCCTGCTAGCAGGAATGGTCCATGTAGAATAAAAAGCATCACCATCATACATAGAAGCTACTTTCGCTGCTACAAGTTAAATCAAAATGTAAAAAATCAAATTTTATAACTTGGTATTATCACCACTCTGATGTTTTCTGAAATTTAGGAATCCAAGTCTCAGTAGGAATTCCATAGCAGCAGTCCAAGCAGCGACAGAAAGGGATCATAGTGGTTCAAGGAAGCATTCCAGGACTGGAATGCACCATGTTAGATCCAAAGGACACGCCGTGTATTCAACAACACCCATGAGAATGACAACTTTCTGTCTGTTCCCTCATTGTTCTGAATAAGCCCAGGCAACTGGAAAGGTAATGTATAATTCAGAGAACAGACACAACTGTTCCTCCTCTCCCTGGGAGGTGGTAAAACCTTGATTATCCTTCTTCACTGCATTAGGCTGTATTATTTCAAGACAGACAGAGCTTGATGCATTTTGACAGGAGTCAAAAGAGGCTTTGGGAGAGTTATTCTTCTCCCACAAGTATGACCATCTTTTGTGAAACACAAAACCTCTGCACAACAAAAGTTTCAACATCTCTGCATATAATGACACTGAATAATCTTGGATTGTTTTATTTTTTCTCAGGGTAAATGCAAAGATGTCTTCCTTAGATCGGAGACAGATACTGACACGGATCATCTGGATGCATCAACACAGATTCAACTTGGCTGGCCATCTTTACTTTCTGTCCTGCTCAGTACATACAATTAAAAAAGAAAAAAAAAGTTCTCATGTATTTTTCTACATTAGGAAATAAAGATTCAGTTTCAAAGCCCTGAAACTCTCCTGGAAATCAGTTGAGAAACAAGGAATGCCAGGACTACAGATGCATCTTTTTCTTTTTAACCTCACAACAGTTAGACCTTTGATGATGACTTTCAATGGGTCTTGTCAGAGCAGTAATAGTTACCACACTGTGATCTGACTGCAGAGGTCAATGTAAATGAGCTGAATTTCACCAGATGTTCCTCAGGTTGGCTTTATCAAGAGGCAGGTATAGGGAGCATGAAATGGACAGGCAGATTGGTGAGGCATCAGCATTAATGTGGGCATTGTACCAGGCGTAGTGAAGAGGGAGCTGAGCTGGAAGGCAAAGCTCTCGATTTACCAGTCGATCTATGATCCAACTTAACAGAAAGAGAGACATTGTGGATAAAAGCGTTTGAAAAATGTTTCTCCTTCTTCATAGGGTAGCTGAGCTCAGCCTTGGAGGGATGAGGAGCTCAGACATCCAGAGGGAGCCTGGAGTAGAGCCGCTGCTCTTTCGCGTCAAAAGGAGCCAGTTGAGGTGGTTCGGGCATCTGATTGAGATGTCTCATTGGCGTCTTCCTATGGAAGTTTTCCAGACACATCTAACTGGCAGGAGAACGCTGGGTAGAACCAGAATTTGCCGGAGGGATTACATATCTCATCTGGCCTGGAAACGCCTTGGGATCACCCAGGAAAAGGTTGAAATCATTTCTGGGGAGAGGGACGTCTGGAATACCCTGCTTAGCCTGCTGCCACTGCGACCCGATCCTGGATAAGTGGTAGATAATCGATGGATGGAGGTACAGGGAGAAAAAAAAAATCCCACCTTAGGCAGTTAATCCCCTGGTTGAAAGATCTTGTCTACAATCTTGTAAATCTTATAGCGATGACACTGTTAACCGTCCTATTGTGTCACTATCAAACATCATCAACTATCACTTGCTGCTGTCATAAATACGATCTCCTACTATAACTGTAAGGATTTGAAATCCTCCAAAGTGGGTAACATATCTCAAATCCATCATGTTTATTAAGGTTATTGTTTAGGACACGTGCTTTGTTTCCAATAGGTGTTCACAGGTTCATTTGGGTGCTAATAACTGAGACATGACGCAGAAGGTTAATTATATTTAGTCCACTTGGATCATGTCTGACATCTGTCTGACAACATGTCCAACTCCTAAGTCGATCCATGCTGACTCTGTATCAGCTGTGATCACATACTGTGTCATTATCATTACAGGAAAAAAAAATTTTTGACGCAGGCGGAGAGTGTGAACTGTGAAGTGCAGGGAAAATGACATGTGTCACTAGTTTTTCCAACCTTGGGTGTTGAGTTAATCAGTGGAGCACCATGCTGCTGCCAGTGTTGGTGTTCTCTTTCTATGTGGGCCTGTTCGGGTTGGTTGTGTTTTGGATCATTTCTATTTTGGAACAGGTCTGACTGTTCTCGGATACCATTTGGCCAGGTATTTTTAGTTAGAAAATGTAAGTATGCAGATTGAGTTTTTCAGATCGGGTCTGGTAGTTTCCAGGTGAATGAACATGTTGAATGAAACAATATTTTAGTTATGATTACATATCCAGATTAAGGACTGTCCTCCCCAGAAGATAGCATCAGTTGTTTCTAACCTTAACAAAGTTGTCATTTCAACCTAAACCATGATCTTTCCCAAACCTTGACTAAGTAGAGATGTCACATCCTAAAAGTGATTTATTTTTCAATGGTTTTGGAGGTCCCAGACAAATTATGTCATCCTGCCAACAGTGGTGCCAGATGAAAAACTGCCTCTATGAGTTGTTCTGGAGGACATGGAAAAACACAATGAAAACTAAATACAGTGGTGCGCTATGATGACTATCGACAGAAAACATAAAACAAAAAATTCTAAATACATATTTAACAACAATAAACATACAAAAATGTACCTCATGTACAATTTTAAATGACACACAAATTTCACCAAACCCATGTAGAACTTTAAAATTACAGAGTTATAATAAAATTAAAACCTGTACCATTTCACGAGTAACAAAGTAAATATCACAGTGTGTCTTTATGCACGCTAACATTATCATAAAATTTAGTACACAGTGGTCTAAAAAATCTGTCCATCTTGTAATTTACATTCCATGCTGCTGTCTAAATAAATCTTGCTAACCTGAATTCTTATTGTTTACTAGCATCAGAACAATCATGTTATTGTTGAAGATGCTCTTCACATTTCTTTCTTTGTTCCATGTTCATATTGACAACACATAGTCTATATATATATATATATATATATATATATATATATACATACACACATACACACACACACACTCTATCTGTCCCTCAAGTCCGGACTGAATTAGGAGCCGGTTTCACTGGTTGCTTTTAAAGTACTTTTAAATGACATGGAGGCTGTACACACTGGCTGTAGATGTTATGAATGATTACTCTGACGATCCTTGTTGTTTATCACTTGTGGTAAATTTATATGAAATTTAGATATTTTATGACCTTGTAACTCTAATTATTCCCGTCATAAATTTTTATTTGTTTTACGTTTATGTTATATGTTTTAATGTATGCAACCGTGTTAATTGTGCTGCTGCCTGTCTTGGCCAGGACGCTCTTGGAAAAGAGATTTTTAATCTCAATGAGTTTTCTTTCTGGTTAAATAAAGGTAAAATAAAAAAATAAAAATTCTGTGTACTATAAAAGCAATCCAATAAAGTGCTTTAACTGCCATATTTACACCATTGTTATAGCTCAAATAAGATATGTTTAACTCACATTGGGCTGCCAAACAACATTCTACCACAGATTTCTGAGAGGTTAACATGATTAACCTTCTGCAGATAGCTGGTAACACCAGAGCCAAGAGTCCATGTGTTCAAACTCTGAATACAGTGCTGCTGGCTCTAACAGGGAGAAGAATGCTGGAAGAACCCCAAGTACCATCCTTCCTCTTACCTATCATAGAAGTCTTCTCTGTAGTAATCGTAGTCAAACTCATAGCCACTGGGGGAAAAGCACAATGGAATATAGTGACTGTACAAAACAAATGTCATACAATGCTTTTCATAACATGAACATAAGACCACATTTAAAATGCACATGGGAACAAAAGCTCTTTGTTTAAAGCGACTACAAATAAAAGAAATAAAGATGCACAAAGAAGGCAATAATTACAAACTGTGTGGGAGAGACAAAGAAACCACAATATAGTTCATCTCACCCCAAGAGACAGACTAAAGAGAACCTAGCAACAGAAAATGAATTCTTGAGAGTGATGTGCAGTACATTTACCATTTACTGACACAACTGCTGTTAGCACGCATTAACTTTTAGCACACATGCCATGGATATGCTAATTACGTGCAAACAAGAATGTAGGTTTGGGGGGAAACAACGAATTCAGAGGTTCTTCAACCAAACAACAATCATTTTGGCACTATGTAGCTGTAAACTATGTAAAATGCTACCCTATTCTAAAATGTGACTAATCATATTTTTAATATTAACATTTATAAAATTTTATCAAATGACTTTGAAATGTGTAAGTGACCGCTCATAGTGACAACACATGAAGGAATCATCAAACAGATCATAGTTTTGTTTTTACGGCCTGTAACTTCACCGTACAAGCCCCTTTCCAGCGGCAGCAGGATACTGTTTTACCAACCCGTTCTCACTCTCCGACTCGTCACATAAAGACACTTGATCAAGACCCATCGGCATCAGTAAAAGCAGCATGAAATTGACTATTCCAAAGGCATGATAATGTTTCTTTGTATGATGGGCGTTCAAAAATGCAATTGCTTGCTAATGTGTTAGCCATGACAGCTATATAAACTGGGGATACGTGATGGATGTTTTTTTTTTTTCTGGTTTAGTGCTTTGTGACTGCTGTTACAATGTGTTTCATATTATATTTAAAAAAAATTTTCTTCACCTTTAAATACAGTATATGGAAAAGCAACTCATACTTAATACACAAGAGCAGGTCACTTGTTTCTTCCTTTTATATTGAAAAGGTTTTGAACTATTTGTAAGGCCCATTGCTGATGTTATTTTAAACATTTAAACAACAAAAAATCTGAGTTTTCACCTTTGACAGGCATGAAAAGCTTCTGTAACAGTATTCAAACAATTACATGACACGACAAGTCTCTACTGAATCTCAGATTTATTAATTTTTCTCAGATTTAGCAGCTATTTAAGGTAGCGTGACTCACCACCCCCTTTCAAGGAAAGGAAAACTCTGAAACTGATTACTTTTATAAAACAAATTAATTAATTTAAACAAATGTGTCTATGGGGAAAAAAAATGCAACTTACAGACAGTGCCATGTCTTGTATGGTTTTGTACTGGAAAGAAAAAAAATTAAATACTGTCCTGCTACAATAAAACTTTTAAGTTTGAAAACTAAAAAAGTTAAGCAACCTTTAACTGGGCTGAGTTGCTGAAAATAGAAGCCTGAGACTTTGACGATGTTGTTAATTAAACACTTACAGGCCTCAGCCTCCACCTTCTCCAGGGTGTTGTTAGGGTGTTGTTATCCAGTGTAGGCAGTTTAAAAGCCTTGACCCTCTTCAATTAAAGTTGTTTAGCTGTCAGTCCCATATGAGCACCTGCATGTGTTTTGTGGTAAACATATAACTGTAGGTATAAAACTTTCTTGTTGGCCTTCTAATGTAGATTCTGTGCTTGTGTATAAGTCCTGAAACACAACAAGATCTGCCTAGAAATGTTAGTGACAGACCGAGTGACGGCCTGATCAATCAAACAATCAGTCCAATAAATGGTGCACACCTGTATAGAGAAGCTGCTGATCGCTTCAGGCCTTTGGCTCTTGGCTTCGGTTCTCCTGCCATGTTGATATCTGAAACAAGAACAGAGGGGGAAAAGGGAGTGTCTTTAAAGTTATTATAAAGAAAAAAAAAATGTCACCCACTTTGTAAACTACCCTGTTAAAGATGTATAAAAGGCCCTTTGATCTTTAATACAGTCAGATACCAATACATTTGAAACATATGTGGAGAGAAGGTATAATATATATGTATAATAGCTCTTTGTAGGGAAATTACATCTAAAGATGGATGGTGTGTTGCCAAGTCACCTCCACTAGAGGAAGCTGTTGAGCCATTTTACAACATATTTTCTACTATTTCAGCCCACAGTGCCAGTTGACAGTACTGTCAGCTGTACTGTACTGTCAATCATTCAGTCAGCTGTTCAGTTAGTCTGCCGACATTGGCCTGTCAGCTTGCCATGTGTATAAAATCTGAATGGAAGTAAGAAATCTGATTTACATCTGCACTTCCGTGGTTTCCTCCCTTATTTGGGGTCATCCTTTGCTGCTGCACCATGGACCAAATTAAATAAGAGTTTAAATCTCAAATGAAACATGATGTATTAACTATAGTACTCTTTTAATGTTTTGAAACTATGAGAATTAAAAAAAAAAGAAATTATGTATTCTGAATAACAGCAATTTAGGATTAATTAGGAAAATGCATTTTTAAGAAACAATGGATCAGGACTAATACAAACCAGTGTATTTCTACAATTGTTTTGATATTTTCCAGTCCAAATTTCGACCCCACCACAGTCTTTGGACTCAATGAAGAATGATTATGAGGAAAGTCAGTGCTCAGCTTCAGGCCAGAAATCAGAATGTGAATCAGCCAAGCAGTTTTTACATGTGCAAGAAATTTGCTTTGGTGACAAGGTGCAAGAAATAAACATTTATAAATATGGAATATCTGGTCTCATACCTACATTTTAAGAGCGACATTTAAACAACTATACAATAATAATAATAATAATAATAATAATTATTTGTAGAGCACTTTTCAAAAACAAGTTACAAAGTACTTTAACAAGTGGAAAGACAATAATAGCCAAAAGACAATAATACAAAAAAATCCAAGATAAAAGCAAGAAACATTGACAATACTAAAATACACATTTAAGATAAATATAAAATAAGTAAAATAGAATAAAATAAAAAGGGATAAAATAAAGTCAAATAAGATCGGGAAAGGCTCTCCTATAAAAGTATGTTTTAAGAAGGGACTTAAAAGAGTTCACTGACTCAGCCGACCTGATTTCCTCGGGCAGGCTTTTCCAGAGCCTCGGGGCCCTGACAGCAAACGCTCTGTCCCCTTTAGTTTTCAGTCGAGACTCTGGAACCGACAACAGACCTCTGCCCGAGGATCTCAAGGTATGTGCTGGTGCGTATGGGACTAAAAGTTCAGAAATATAACAAGGCGAGAGGCCATGAAGAGCTTTAAAAGTGATCAATAGAATTTTAAAGTCAATTCTAAACATACTGGGAGCCAGTGTAATGAAGCTAAAATAGGGGTAATGTGGTCATATTTCTTTGTTCTGGTTAAAAGCCTAGCAGCTGAGTTCTGGACAGTCTGGAGTCGATCAGTAGATTTTTGGGTTAAACAAGTGAAAAAAAAAGGCTGTCGCAATAATCCAGGCGTGATGAGATGAAGGCATGTAAAATGGTCTCGGTGTCCTTAAAAGTTAACATAGATCATATTTTTGCTATATTTCTAAGTTGATAAAAACATGATTGAAGAAGCTTTGTGGTGTGCTGCTCGAAATTTAAATTACTATCAAACCAAACACCACGGTTCTTTGCAACAGGCTTAATATGATTTACTAGGATACCAGCAGATGGCAGTATTTGTTTTGCCATCTGCTGAGACCCGATGACCAGGATTTCTGTTTTGTCTGAGTTCAGCTGGAGGAAATTATTTGACATCCAATTTTTAACTTCACAAAGGCAGTTGTTAAGTGAACTCAGCATTCCAGGGCCTGTGGATCTGACGGGCAAGTATATTTGTGTGTCATCAGCATAAATATGAAAAGAAATGCCATGTTTATGGATAATATGTCCAAGGGGAAGAAGACACAGGGAAAACAAAATGGGTCCTAAGACCGACCCCTGAGGCACACCATATTTAACTGGACAGAATGAGGAGACATAGTTGTTTACAGACACGCAAAACTTCCTATTTGACAGGTAGGATGAAAACCATTCTAGGGCAGCACCAGAGATCCCCACCCAGTGCCTCAGTCTGTCTAACATGATGTTGTGATCAATGGTGTCAAAAGCAGCGCTAAGGTCCAGGAGTACAAGGACTGAGCACATGCCTTCTTCATCAGCAGACATTAAAAGGTCATTGGTGACTTTAAGCAGGGCAGTCTCAGTGCTGTGGTACTTCCTGAAACCAGATTGAAACTTTTCAAATAATTTGTTATTTTCCAGTACAGTAAGCAGCTGTTTGGACACAATTCTTTCTAAAATCTTTGCAATAATAGGCAGTTTTGAAATTGGTCTAAAATTTTGTGGGAGGGAGGGATCTAAACCAGGTTTCTTTAAAAGTGGGTTCACGCAACCAGTAGATAGGGAGCTGTTGAAAACAGAGATCAAATGGGGCCCAACAGAATCAATTACTTTCAGTAAAAACTTTGTAGGTATTACATCAAGTGGGCTGAAGGACACTCTCATTTGTGATACTGTTTTTAAAAGCTCAGACAAGTCGATGGGATAAAACTGGTTAAAACTCTCTTGCTGCTGGTGAGGTAATGGACTTGGAGACTGGATTTTTTCCATCTGCGCTCTGCTTTCCTTCATTCCCTTTTTAGGCTGCGAATGCTGTCATTTATCCAGGGTTGCTTACTAGCTTTAGATGTAGTCCTAACCTTTAGAGGAGCACTAATATTTAGTGATGACAAGCAGATATGATTGAAGTGATCGACCAGATTGTTGGTGTTGGCTTTGGCTCTGAAAGAATGTGCAAAACTTTGAAACACTTTGTTCATTAAAGAAGCGAGAACACACGGAGCTTGGTGAGGCGGCATGAGTAACAGGCGAATCGCAGCTAAAAATAATACATCTGTGGTCAGATATGGTCATGTCCACTAATTCCACCGAGGAAATGCTGACACCCAGGGTAAAAACCAAGTCCAGTGTATGACCACGGTTATGGGTTTGCCCTTTGACATGTTGTTTGAAGTTAAAAGACGTGGCCATATTTAAAAAGTCAGTTGCATTAACATTGGTGGGGTCATTAACATGAATATTAAAATCACCACAAAGAACAATTCTGTCATAATTTAAAACCAGAGTAGATAAAAATTCAGGAAGTTCTGATAAAAGTCCTCCAGGCGGTTTTGGGGGGGCGATAAATTATAACAAATATGATAGGTTGCAGCCCTCCAAGTTTAGTTAAGGAGTTAAATTCATTACAGCGTACTTGATGACATTTAAAATTTTTCCTATACACGCTCACTAGCCCACCACCACGACCACTGACCCTCAGTTGATTCAAACAATTATACTGAGACACAGTTCAGCTAGCTGACTATAGTCATTCATTTGCAACCAGGATTCAGTTAAAAACATGAAATCTAGATTTGCAGACAAGATAAAATCATTTAAGATAAAAGTCTTACTTGAAAGTGATCTCACATTGAAGAGAACCATTTTAAATGAGTTTGTTTTGGGTGCTGGAGTTTGTGCAGTGTTCCTGATCCTTAAGAGATTACTATTATTTCTGTGTGGGATGTGCACATTTCGGTTTACTGGTCTATATGTGATGATGACAGGAATAAAAGTCTTTGGAACAGTGCTGGGAGCAGACGGCTTTACATGCCAGCAGGTGGAGACAGTTGTTTGTGGCAGTGAGGCAGAGTTATGTTCAGTGAGCGGTGGTGTGTCCAGGTGTGCTGCATGAATGATTCGTCGTTCACGTAAGTCATGTGTGGACCGCACCACATGCTGTATGTGAGCAGCTAACATTTCTGAGCCCCGTTTCTTTGGGTGAAGTCCGTCTGTCTGTCTGTCCAGAAAATATTAGTTATCGACATAACAGACACCGTGAGCCCTGCAGGTGGACTGGAGCAGTCGTGGAGTCTACTGAAGCGGCCAGCACCGCGACCAACTGTGGGAATTGGACCAGAGATAAAAACGTACTTTCCACTCTGCTTTAAAAAGTTAAAAAGACGGTTAAAATCTGATTTTGTCAGCTCAGACTGCTGAAGAGCTGTGTCATTTGTTCCCACATGGACTATCACTCTTGTGATGGAGGACGGAAACGACGGGATCAGGTCCTGGAGTTTTTTTTAAATGTCAGCTATGGTGGCACCGGGGAAGCAGTGAGAGGTAGCGTTAAAGAAACGGATGTTTCTGGTTATGGAGTCACCAATTATTAGTGTGGTTGGGGAGAAAAGGGGACGAGGAGAGTCTCCCTGAGACTGCCCCACTCCCACCGTGCTATGGGTCCCATATGGTGTCCTGGATGTTAGTGGTTGCGCTAAGAAAAACAATCTGTTTGGTTTGTCCTGAAGCCACATCCATAAAGCCAGTCAGCAGGGAATCTTTCTCTTTGAGTTCCTCTGAAAGTCGTCGGATGTCTTCCATAAGGTCAGCAATCTTTTTGTTAGCTTTTTAGGGAGTGTGCAGTCCTCATGGGGCAGAGTTATGTCGGCTAGCATAACGTTAGTCGCCGGAGCTTTGTTGTGATCAGTAGCGTTGATCGCGTTTTCACGGTCATCTAGCTTAAAATCCATGTTGGATGACTAAAATCCTTAACCCACATAAAACTTAAGTTAAAAACTAAAATAAAATAAAAGGATATAAAAAATGTAACGCACCTCCATTACAGGCTGCCTGACTCCTTACTAAGACCAGGAGAGTGACTCACATCACTCCAGTTCTCAGATAATTGCACTGGCTCCCTGTGTGTCAAAGAATTTACTTTAAAATACTGCTTCTGCATTTAGGGTCAAAATACATTTCTGCTGCTCCATTATGAACCGCCCAGACCTTTCAGATCAGAGGTCCGCTTACTGTACCCAGAG